CCTTTTTTTTTTTTTTTTTTTTCCCCCCCTCCCCCTGCTGCTGCCTCCTTCCAGAACTACTCAAAGTTCAGGCTTGACCCTTACAAGTCTTCTAGTAACAGAGATAGGGAGGGAGGTAATGTATCATATGCTCCAGAGAAAAATAATCTCCTGACCTTCTTGAAAATAACCATAGAGTTGCTGCCAGAGACCTGTTCCTGTTTTTTTTTAAACTGAATTGGTCTGTACCCTGAATATGAAAAGTACCTGATGAAGGTCATTTCAGCAACTTTCCTGAGAATGTTGTCTACCCTCTCCCCCTTGTTTTTGATGTGACTGCTTTAAAATATCTGCTTTCACATCATGATTAGTGTTTGTGTTGCCTACCCTGCTGCTCACTTTAGGATGCTACAAAGCCCCAGAACACTTAAGTGGCACATCTGGTACTAGGTATGGCTGCAGCTTTTGTGCATCAGCAGTGCAACTGGATTCATGTGTATTTGAGCAGCTAGCTCAGAATTATTTTGAAGATTTTTGCAAGGATGAGGTGGAGAGGAATGTCTTTACCCCTTTGCAGGAGTGTTTTTCTGTCTTTCAAGATTTCTTACTGAGATGTGATTTATGCTAAACCCATGACTTAGTGTTCACCTGTCTCAAGACTCACTGTGGCAGCAGTAGCAGAGCACAGTGTCTGAACAAAGCTGAATTTTGTTGTGACTCTGGGGGTGACAGTGTTCCACTAGAGCAGTGCACCTGATCAAGCTGGCTCGCTTTGCTAAAATACTGCTTGTGTTGTATTATGAGAAATTTTGGTCATCTGCTGAAACCTCTTAGCTTTTGATTAAACTTATGTCATCCCAGTACTTGACTTGATAATCTGTTTAGTTCTTGCTAATCCAATTGCAAATCAGTGGAAGACCCTTTGAATGACTACGCTTATGTTTGGCAGTATGACAGTGGTGCTGAAGGTGACTAATAATATGACCAGTCAGATGCCCTCACGGTTGCAAGTGCTGATGACAACCTTACAATCATAAAGATAGACAGACGGTGCTCAGGTTTCATCCTAGATTTTACTTAGTGCAAACACCCAAAGACAGTGCATGACTGCTTGCTGCTTTTATTTATCCTGGCAAAATAAATTTCCTGTTTGAACAAGTTGCCACCTTAGGATTTTCTTGCCTAAAAGGCTCAACAAACTGTTGCCAGATGTTTATTTTGAAGGCTGAGTGGATGCAACTGTTGGGTTAGATCCTAGTCAGTGCTACAGTACAAGTGTCTTGCAGCTCCTTCTATGCTCGGTATCACAGTGGTGCCATTAGTGATCTTAAAGAGTTTAGTATGTCAAGTTGTCATACCCTGTGCTACATCAGGCAGTGCCTGGCAAGGGTTGTGTTTTGCTCCAGTCAAGTAAGAGTTTTATCAGCTCTGCCTTTGGTGAGATTGTTGCTAGTTGGTCTTGTGCATTGAGGCCATCGAATTGATGATGCCAGTGACAAGAGGTGTTAGCACTGACTTACTTACTGAATATGGTAAGTGGTCAGTGAACGTCTTGTGCCTCTTCCACAAGAAGATTTAACTGAAAGAATATCAGAGGACAGAAAATATCTTTGCTTAGGATACATACAGTGCCTGTGGAGAAGATCCTCAGTTTCAGCTTTTTATTAAGACGGAGTCTGATGGCTAGCTCGCAAGAGCTTCTTGGACGGGGCTTGAGGGGACGATGCTACAGGCGAGCAAGATCGCAGAATTGTATAGGGAATGGTTAAATGCCTGCATAAAATGTCTTTCAGTTAAGGCTTGTGCCTTTCTAATTGCTCAGTTCCTTATGTGTTTACCATTCAGCTTTTTCTTCCAGAACAGCAGTCTTCCCCCAGTCTGTTCTGTGACTTCAGACCATTATAGGAAGCTGGGCATTATTAATGACATAAGGCAGGGAAAGATGCCCTTAAGTAGCTCAGAAGAAAATCTTATCTCTGGCTCTGCTCAGCATACATCTTTCCTTCACTTCTGATGGATGTAGCTTCCCACTGGCCCAGACTTGGTTTTGAAGTTTAGCGTGGAGGTAAGGCTTCTGTTCGCTTACCTCTGAAAAGCATCCCAATAAGATATTAGTGTAGCAGCTAGTATTAATTAGCATTTGCTAGGGCTGAGTGTGCCACTTCAAAGAATGGTTATAGTTAAGAGTGGCGTTTTCAGGGTAGCATCTTCTTGTATATGGAAGTAGGTTCCTCTTTGAGAGGTAAACTGTTCTGTTTTCCCCGGTTCATGTGTTTTAACTGTTTTAGGCATAAATCCTGCCCCAGTGTACAGCTTGACAACATAATCTTGATATTGTAACTGTTCAAACACACACAAGGCCTAATTTGGCCTGTGGAATTCTCTGATGTTGATGAATGAGCAGAGGAAAAACCTGGAGTGAGAATCTGTCTGGCAGCAGTTCTGAAAAGCTGACTTGTACACTCCCCATAGACCTTGTTTACTTAGATAGATAGCAAAAGACTTCCTGTAAAGCAGTTGAATAACAAGTTCCAACATTTCCTGCTACTTCAGTGATCAGTCTTTTCACCTGCTCTATACTTCAGACCTGTTTTGTACTTGTATGTATGCTTTCTGGCATAACATTAGAAGGAACTCTTTATTACAGTATTAGTTTTTAATGCCGGAGTCACTTTAGCTTAGGACTGTTGTTGAGAGGAGTGTGTTTTAAGCCTTCTTTCCTTAAATTGGGCTAAAAAATAATAATGAGATAGTTCTTCTCCTGCTCTCATTAACTTTTTGTCCGAGTGTTTGACTTCTGTTGGCTTGCTCAGGTGTGGAAGTTTGAGGTGCACCTACATTACTTCTTGGGGGGGATTTGGAGCATACTTCCTGCAGCAAGTTTGCCAATTGCCCTCACTTATCTCTTCTAGGTTTGGAGCCTGTCATTTGGGATTCCCTTGAGATGAAACTAAGCCATAAGATGCAGTCTTGTTGTGTCTAGGTGTTTGTCTAGCTTGGCTAGTGGGCAAGACTAGACCTTAGTTTGAAATATTCTTCTCCAATGTATAGTGTGGACATGTTAACAGGTCTTCAGTCTTGCTCTGAAGGTCTGCTCTTGGTGTATCCTACTACTTGCTAGTGTAAATGTAGCTTCAGAAATCAAGATGTGTTTGTGAAAAGAGGCATTTAAAAGCCTGTCAGGTTCTCTAGGGCAAGCTAGGTAACAGAAAATCCATGCAGCCTAGAGTTGGTATGTGCACTTATTTGGAGTTAGGTTTTAGGAAATATTAGGTAATCCAGTCAGCCCACAGATGAGATTTTCTTTGCTTGGAAATTCCTTCAACTTAATTGTTTCAAAACTGCAGTTCTGCATTCTGATTCCTTGTTGGGCAGAGAATCCACACAGGGCAGACATATTATGAATCCTATTTGAAAGTTTGTCAGAGTTAGTCTATCAGCCATGAGGAAAAAAATTTTCGAAACTAGGCTTCAGCTGTTCTCATGCTCATGGAGTTACTTATTTTCTCTTTGCACATACTCAGTTCTGGACAGAGTATGTTTTTGATGTTAATGTGATAGAAGATTTCCTTTAAGGGAATCTTAAAAATTTAGTTCTGCCCTCCTGTTACAATGCAGGGCTGACTTGTAATGCTTTTGATTCTCTAGTCAGCTAGTACTTGGTCCAACTTGTAGCTATTTTATGGTAAAAAGGCATTTCTCTGTGTGATGGTAGCCTGCTGGGAAGTGATGCTTTTCATGTTGTCAGATCCAAACTTCTGGCAATAAGCAGTTTTTCAGTACCGGTAACTTGGCATGTTCCTCTCTTGCACCAGTATAACCCAGGAATTCCCAGCATAACATGTTCTCACTTTAATCTTCAGCATAAGGTCAAGATTTAAAGTCTTCCCTGTTGGTCTTGGCCTGTAAATTTAAAGCATTCCTCTTTGTACAGTCTCTTAAAAAGTCAGCCACTGATGATTTTTTTTTTTTTTTTTTTTTTTTTCCCCTCAGACAGCAAGTTAGACAATGAGGTCAACATAAGAAGCTCTGGTCTCAGACTGGGTTGAAGTCTGTAAATCTGAAATGAATGCTTGTAGCACTCCTGGGTACAACCTACTTGAAAATGGGGAGGGATCTACTGCAAAATACGGTTGTTAAAAACAGATGTATAATTCACAAGGGATGCATAATGCACCGTAGGTAGAGCTCCAATATTCTTTTAAATAGGAGCAATCTCTTGTCAGAAGCATGATGTCTGCAGTTTGCAGCATGGAGAACTTCCAGTGATTCTGGAGTCTGACTTCTTCATCTTGTTTGGGTCTGGACTCATTCTTTGGGTGTTAGCAATAACACTGTGTGAACTCTAAAGCAGCAGCAAGACATCCTAGTTGTAGGGGTTAGGATTTAGTCCTGGGGGAGTATCACAGGGCCTTGGGTCATGATTGCTCATCTGCTGAAAGTGATGGAAGTTGCTCATGACTTTTAGGCACAGTAGGCTCAGGCTCTAAAATGGTTAATGGTTCAAAGCTGCACGAGGGGAGGTTTAGACTGGACATTAGGAAGCATTTCTTGACCAAGAGGGTGGTCAAACACTGGAACAGGCTTCCTCGAGAGGTGGTCAATGCCTCAAGCCTGTCAGTATTTAAGAGGCATTTGGACAATGCCCTTAATAACATGCTTTAGCTTATGGTCAGCCCTGAAGTGGTCAAGCAGTTGGACTAGATCATTGTAGGTTCCTTCCAACTGAAATATTCTAATCTATAAAAGCAGAAGGAAGAAAATGCTGTCTGGTTGGGTCTGTGCTTAGACCATGCCTCTTTTTGCTGATGCCTCTTGCTTAAACCTATTCCATTACCTTTCTAATTGCACTTATGTGGTAAAATTGTTTCAGCACAGGAGTGGACTTTTAATTCTTACCGCTAGCAAAAAACATATAGTCTTTACTTTGTATATGTTGACAGCAATAACAGGAACAGTAATGTAAAATTTTGTACGGAAAGAAGGTGGGGGTACTTTTAAGGGGTTCTCAGTTAACCTGTACAGGTTCTGAAAACACACTGCAGAACTACAGGATAAATGACATATTTACCTCTCTCTGTGACATGATTTTGAATCCTAGAAGATAAAGCAAATGTTTCTTGTGTGAAACTGAAAATATATCAGTGCAATGATGCATTTTAGTTTGTCCAGTCTTGGGCCTTTGCCCCAGGTAATCTTTTGAACAGGGATTTAAATTAATACTAAGGACTCTATTAGTGATTTTTAAAGTTGGATATTTTGGAGAATACATGCCTTGGAGGTGTAATTGAAAGTGGCTTTCTTAACTGGGATTTGTGCTTGGGCCTGTTTGCCCAAGGCAGTACTCATGCTGTAGGGCAGTATGATAAGAGTATCAAATAGAACTGAAGAAGCATCCCATAGGTGACTTCATCTTTTTCAATTAACTGCCTGATCAAATCACTCACTGATGCAGCTTTTTAAACTGTCATGCTGACACAAGGTCATATGTTTCTTGTTACCTTGCAGGAAATTATTATGGAAAGTCCACGTCATCTGGATTACAGTGCACTGCATATAGCTCCCAGCAGGAATCTGTAAAATTCCCTATTCTTCCTGGAAATAGAATTAGTTCTTAACAGGAGGCGACTTACAAAATTGGTCTGTAAGCAGTGTGTTTTGCTACCCCACTTTTTTCCTTAGAAACTCTTAATTGGCTGCAAATGAATCCTTAACATTTTTTAAGACTTCTTAGAGGTGATGTTGGGAAGTGAGATTTCATGTATCTGCGCAATGCAGACCTGCGTGGTAGTTCTTTTTGGTATTTTCAGGCTGGCTAGTGTGGTGTCTCTGTGCAAATGCTACGTTAGCTTGACTGACTCTAGAAAGTGAGGTGGAAAAGGGTGAGAGAACATGAGTAGGAAGACGTAGTTTTGCAACCAAATAAATCTGTGTTGGCTTCAAACTTCATATGGCCCTTACGGGTGCCACTAATAAAGCTCTACATCTCTCGGTTGGATTTGAAAGGAGAGGCTGAGTAATTAATTCCCTCCCTTAAGATGTAGCGTTAAGGAAGCCTGGAGAAGCAGATGATCATGGGAACCTGGGATATCACTTCTAGGATGAGGACAAAGCAAATGTGTAAATGTGGGAGACAAAGTGGTGAAGTGTTTGGATGAGGAGAGCAGACCTCACTTGGTGCCCTGGGAGTGAAGATATCATCTGGGTTGGGTTTGAGGCCTGGAATGTGAAGTTGTTGAGACCAGAAGTTTATGTTGGGGGCTACCTCTGACTCCTAGCTTTAAGTCTGCTCCTGGACTCCTGTTAGATAGTGTGACAGACCTTGGACAAATGAGCATTGATGTGAGAAGATGTGATTATTTTTTATTTTTTAATCCCCTCCACAGTAAAAGGAACTGTGTTTGGATCCAAGTCTTAACGTAATTTGTCCATATTATTCAGCATTGTGTAAGTGCATGAGCTAGAAAATACAACTGAGCAATTTGGACAATAAATAAATGGAATAAGTAAATAAATGAAAAAAGACTTAGTTTTAATTATGACTGCCAAAGAAATACTTTTGAATTGAAAAAAAAACTAAGTGCTGCAGTGTTGCCCCTTAGTGCATGACCAAGAGTTGAAATTGCAACTTTCTGTGTTGACACCTGCTTGTGTAGCGTTACTAATAGCGGTTGGTTTCAAAATAATATTTCTGTGCTCTATGTGGAAAGAGCCAAGTGCTGGTTTCAACTTACCCGTATTTCTTACTGCCTGTCACTGGCAAGTGATCCCATGGCCATCTGGGGGGCTGGGGTTGAAAGCAGTGAAACAGTCTTTAGGGCATAGTAAGAATGAGGCAAGCTCCTGCATTTTGTAGCAAGATAAACTTAATATCAGAATTGTAATGTGTGTGACCTTAAAGCCTTGCTATTGCAAGGCTATGGTGAAATAACATTTTAGCAATGCAAATAGCTCTGAAGACTCTTTTGGCTTCCAAGGATGCAATCTGTTGGCTTGAGCCCACAGAGCTTTGAGGATGGAGATGCAGCTCACGCACTGTTCTGTCTGTGCTGAGAAGTGTGGTCATGTGCAATGCTGAGCAAACACATCATCTACCGTATTGCTGTTACCAACCAGGCACTTCTAGAATAACTCGGTTTCATTTTCCTGAGATCTTTACTAATGGATTAATATATGGAATCATAAAACTGAGCTTAAAAGACCTGGAGCATAGACCTCCGGTGATGGACCATCTCTGTTGGTGGCCCCCCTGTTGAATCACTGACGCTTGCTGATCTCTAACTCCTGAATTGGTGTCATTGCAGGTTCAGGTCCAGGTCCAGCAGTCACCGCAGCAGGTCTCCGCCCAGCAGCTCTCTCCGCAGCTCACTGTCCATCAGGCTTCGGAGCAACCAATACAGGTCCAAGTGCAGATCCAAGGCCAGGCGCAGCAGCAGGCATCCCAGACAATACAGAGTCAATCTCTTCAGAGCCCCAGCCCATCTCAGCTGCAGGCAGCTCAAATCCAAGTGCAACATGTGCAGACTGCCCAACAGATCCAGGCTGCAGAGATACAGGAGGAACACATACAACACCAGCAGATCCAGGCCCAGCTTGTGGCAGGACAGGCCATTACTGGTGGCCAGCAGATACAGATCCAAACAGTTGGGGCACTGTCACCTCCACCTTCTCAACAAGGCTCTCCACGAGAGGGAGAGCGACGGATCAGCACTGCTAGTGTCCTTCAGCCAGTGAAGAAACGTAAAGTGGATATGCCTATTACTGTATCCTATGCTATTTCTGGGCAGCCAGTTGCCACAGTGCTGGCCATTCCTCAGGGCCAGCAGCAAAGTTATGTCTCTTTAAGGCCAGACTTGTTAACAGTGGACAGTGCCCACCTGTACAGTGCCACTGGGACCATTACTAGCCCCACTGGAGAGACTTGGACCATCCCCGTTTACTCTGCTCAACCACGTGGTGACCTTCAGCAGCAAAACATAACCCACATCGCCATCCCTCAGGAGGCCTACAATGCCGTCCACGTCAGTGGCTCACCAACGACACTGGCTACCGTGAAGCTGGAAGATGACAAGGATAAGATGGTGGGAAGTACTTCAGTAGTGAAGAATTCTCACGAGGAAGTGGTGCAGACTCTTGCTAATTCGCTCTTTCCAGCGCAGTTTATGAATGGCAACATCCACATTCCAGTGGCAGTGCAGGCTGTGGCAGGGACGTACCAGAATACAGCACAGACAGTGCACATATGGGACCCACAGCAGCAACAGCAGCAGCCGACACCCCAAGAGCAGGGGCAGCAGCAGCAGCAGCTACAGGTCACTTGCTCAGTAAGTTAAAGCTGCTTTTTGGTCTCAGTCCATGATTAACAACTAGTGAATGTTGTGGAGAGGGACGATGTCAGCAGACAGCTGATATCTCGGAAGCAGAGATGAGTTTGTCCCAGTAGCCTGGGTGTGACATAGGGCATTTGACTCCTGATAGGTGTAGGACTGCGATGTGTTAATGCTGGTACATAATTATAGGATTCAAAACTGCCCCAAAGAAAGTATAATCTTGATCTTCATAATGTAAATTAATAGATACTGGTAGTATAAATTAATAAATACATGTTCATTGCTAGCTGCTTCATAGCAGGTATTCCAAGGTCTGCAGTCTTCTGAGCTGCTCTAGGGGTTGCAGTGGACAGGCAGGGATGATTGCAGCGAAGCAAGGTGTGTGAATATACTAGTCACCTAGTTATCAGTTACTTTGTGTTATGCAGCATGTAGAGTCTACAGGAGATCCAGCGCACAGGTAAAGTGTTGGAATCTGGCTAGTTGTGAGCAAACTTCATGGATCAGGTGTACCCATCTATAACACCGTGTCCTGCTTCTGGTGAATGCCTGGTGTGCAAGAGCACAGTCATGAGCAGTGGCAAGTAAGCATCTCTTCATGCTGCTTGGCAAACATGGCAGCCAAATTTGTGGCTGTTTTTGTTGGGGTTTTTGGGGTTTTTTTTTAAGGCTCTGTTGCTAACTTTAAGCCATAGATATTTTGAATAGGCTTTTAAAACTTGAATAACTAGTGCAAATGGATGTAATTTATATTTTATTACCAGAAAGTGAAAAGTGATTGATCTGTCAGAGCCTGTTTTTGCTGAATGGAATGACAGCAAAAATATCCAAGTCTGCTAGCATAAATGTTGTTATAAATTCTTTCCAGTTTATAAATAACACTGTTGGCTATATAAAGGTGTATATGCCCTCTAATTTGTCAGTAAGCACTGAGACAAGGTGGATTACTTTCTATAGCCATGTCTGGTTGTTTGTGAGTTGATTGTGGGCTATAGCCCACCAAGACCTCCACTGCAAAGGGTTCCCTACATCTCCAGATAACTTTCAGGTGCTGGGTGCCCTCTTTTATAAAGCTGTACATTAAGCTACAGCTTATGGGTCTTGTAATGCATAGGGTTTTGTTTGTTTGGGATTTTTTTGTTTGTTTGTTCATGTTCAAAGAGCCTTCTGTAGCTTATCTTTTCCCCGTATTGGTACTTCAGAGATCACTTCATCGCTTTCAGCTGCTTGAACAAACTAAGTCGATAGAACTTTTTGCCTTTCTGTTAAACAGGATTTTTAGACTTATTCTAGGGTCTTTTAAGAGCATGAGCCACATTCTTGGGATCCTTTCTGAGGTATTAGCTCTGTAATTTCTTTAATGGTTACTGGCAAAGCTTGAACTAATGCTGTGTATTTCTGTGCACAGTGGTCTGCAATTCTTGGGTATCAGACAGTTTTCTGTTCCCAATTCGCTGGACTACTGGGCGTTGGATTAGCCCCTAAAGACAGAGGCAAGTCCAGGAGGGATGCATTCTTCCTCTAAGAGGGCAATAAAGCTACTACAGGTGAACATCAAACTTTTGGGGGTTGTTCCTCTCACAACTGTGAGACTGAGAAGGAATTATGGCTGCTTGCCCCACGCTGTCCTCTGGCACTGTGCTGATGTGGGATTTGGGCAAGTTGCAGCTATTTTGCTCTATTTGTGAAAGATGTAAGTCAGTTCAGAAGCAACTGCCAGTTCAGTGAATTAACTCCAGCCTGTGTGTCTGCCTTAACACTGGACAAGCTGTCTGTGAGGTCAGGGCAGAAGATTGCTCTTTGGGTTGGGGTGACAGAGGTGGTTGGCTCTGGAAAGCTCTCTGGAGAGTAATGGGGCAGTGCTCTGGAGGAGAGTGGAGACTCAATCCTAGCTCCTACAAAGACAAGGTGTCAGTTCACCCTTGGACTCCTGTCCTTTTTAAGGCAGAGGCTTGCTTGACAGCTTAAACTTTGTTGCCATCTGCCTTAATAAAAGCTGGGTCCTTTCAGTCACAGTCTCCCTCTGCAGCTGTTGTAGCCAGCAGGGGCTGGTAAGCAAAGAGGTATTAAGAGCTGATGCAAAAAAAAAAAAAACAAACCCAAAAAACCCCCCCCAAAAAAAACCCAAAACCAACCAGAGGCAGTCAGAAAGCTCCAGTCTGAGGCTCTTGCAAGCTTTGCCTCTTTAGCTGTTTTGTTGGGGCTTTTTTGTTATACTGAGTAGGGTACAGGTATTACTGAAGTCTCTATGTCATTTCCATTATGGTCTCTAGTACTGCCAGAGCAACTTTCAGTGATGATTGACACTTGGTTTCTGTGGCATGGGATTGAGAAGCTGTAGTGAAGAATGCAAAGTGAATGCAGTCAGAGGGGTTGCTGCTTTTTCTGGATAGGTGCCATCAGTTGCCCGTAAAATGTTTCAGTTTGAGGTAGTAATTCTTGGTGACTTAAGGTCCTGCTGCAAAGTAAACTTCCAAGGGGTCTGGAGACCTCTTAGGTCTATAGTAGGTCATACAGTAGCTCTTCACAGAATAGTAGCTAGTCCTCATTAGCAGTATTTGGTAGTTTGAGAGCATTTCATTGCAACTGAATTAATGTTTTAATGCTGGAGTTCTAGTCTGTTATTACTTTATACCTCTTAGAAATGAATTAATCTTATCAGTCCTTGACGGTAAGAACAGAGCATATGTATTCTGTCTGGCTGCTACGTCCTGAATAATGAGAGAGCCTGCCCTTGATGGGCAAGGGTGGGGAGGAATGCTAGCACTGTACAACACGTGATCATACCCAGACCCTTGCTTAGGGCAGTCTTCGGTTTGGAGCAGCACTGGTTAGTAAAGCTGATGGCACCTTGCCGTTCTTCCCTGCCCAGGACTGGCGGTCTCTCTAGCTGCTGTGTCTCAAGGCTGTGTCTGTGAGGGGCCTTGGGCCACTCTTGTTGTAGTGAGATGATGGACTTTAGTGGTGGTTCAGAGTTGAAGGTTCAGAGCTGAAGCCAAGAAAAATGCATTGGAGCAAACAGGACTTCAGAATCAATAGTCATCTGTTTCAGTGTTTGAGAGGAGACCAGAAGTCTGTTGTTGAGAGGAATTTAGCCCTGTAAAGATCCTTGCCTTTGAGTGTACCAGCTAGCTTCTTAATGGTATTGCAGCAAGAACAGCTTGTGGCTGTTGGGTCTCCTGTGATGTTCTGCAGGACTTCTAAATGCATTAAATTGCAAGTTGTGTGGGTTTGCTAAAGGGGTTATAGATATGTCCATTCAAACTAAAAGTGTTCTTGGAGAGATGAACGCTGTTTCATGAGCACCAGTTCAGGTTAGACAGCAAAGTTGTGTTCCTTGGATTAATTTCTTGTTAGAGAGGAATGTTGCAAAAGGCTGATATCCTGGGGCTAGAGGTAGCACGGAATTACTTGGGGGTTTTTTTGTTGAACAGTTGCATATCAAAGTGTATATATAAACTGAAATGCTCTCTTTCACAGGCTCAAACTGTTCAGGTTGCTGAAGTTGAACCACAGCCACAGCCACAGACTTCACCTGGACTTCTACTTCCAAACTCTCTGAAGCCAGAAGAAGGGCTTGAAGTGTGGAAAAGCTGGGCACAGACCAAGAATGCAGAGCTGGAAAAAGAAGCCCAAAATAGGCTAGCACCTATTGGAAGTATGTGTCATGACAACATGGCTTTTCTTCCCTTTCAAGCAGCATTAGGAGTGACTAAAATGTTAGCTGTTTACCGCTCTGGAAAACACCTTTGTTTAATCAGTGATTGTTTTGAAATTTAAACTTTGATTTACTCTGCAGTACTAATTATTGCATACTCCCACTGCCACAGGCCACGTTCCAAGGGAGGTATTAGCTCTATGCTGAGCCAACTTGAGCACTTAGGCTGGTAGCAGTAGAGAAGGGCACTGTATGACTGTGGTGCATGGACGAACAAAAAGGCCGTGAATGCCAGCCAAGCTGGTAGAGCAGTCACGGAGTTGCTGTTTTCCTATTGCTGCAGGGCAGCGTTTCATTGTGGACATGGTAAAAGAAGGCAATAGTCATGCAGTTGGCAGGGCAGAGAGTCTTCCTGTCGGATTCTTGCCCATTTATCTTTTAGTAGATCTGACAGCTTAAGATCTTGATTTATTTCAGCTTGCTTTATTATACTGGAGGAATGAGGTAGTACTGGGCCTGCCAGATAGAATGGCAAAGCCAGAGATGTGGGAAATCATTCCTGAAAGATTGGGAAATAATATGGCTTTATGGCTTAAATAATATGGCTTTGTTTTGTTTTTCCAGGGCGTCAGCTGCTGAGGTTCCAGGAAGATCTCATCTCTTCGGCTGTGGCTGAGCTGAATTATGGTCTATGCTTAATGACACGAGAAGCTCGAAATGGTGATGGGGAACCCTATGATCCAGATGTGCTCTACTATATCTTCCTGTGTATTCAGAAGGTAGGGGGAGGACAGCTATATGTGCAGCAGAGCTGTGAATGTTAGCATTTATAGGGAGGATTCTCTGTTATAAAAATGGAGACAGTGGCTTCAATTAAGCTTCCCAAAGAAAAAAGTCCCTTTACTTTAAAAACAAAAACAACAACAAAAAAACCTCAAAACAAACAAAAGGCAAAAAACCAAAATCAGATTAAATGTAGTTAGTGCACAGCAATGCTTTTACCTACTGAGCCAGGTTTGTGAAGAATTGTTAAGTATCATGGTGAAAATATCATTTTAGTTTTTTCAGTGAGGGGGGAGGGTTGGGTGATGTTTGAGGAAGTTGTCAGTGTCAAAACTTGATCTAGTTGAAGCTCTAACAGGCAAGAACTTAGCTTTGTGTGGTGTGGGAAGTCTGAGCTGGTAATATTAGTGTGCTTTCTGGAAGAGCTGCAGGAACAGAGCCAAACTTGGATAGCAGAATTGAGCATCTCTCTCCTTAATCTGAAAAAGTAGTGTCCAAAGGACAGTCATGTGAAATAACTTGCAGTGAACACACCTGAAACAAAAGGTGAAATCCAACCAGCTTTACTTTCTAAGACGTTTTTTTCCTTCTGTCTTAGCATTCCCATGATAGTAGCTGAGATTACCTGCCCTGTACTGGCCTTGGGGCAAGGGTCCTCACTCTTCTAAGTAGAATGTATTAGTCTTCAGTGCTATGCTGTAAGATGCTTGACTGACTGGGTGTGTGGGCTCTTAGGATAAGGTCTGGTCTGAAGAGTAGTACACTTGCTACCACTGTACTGGACTGTGTTGTGAACCTCTTACAGTATCTCTTTGAAAATGGCCGAGTAGATGACATCTTCTCAGATCTCTACTATATTCGGTTCACTGAATGGCTGCATGAAGTTCTCAAGGACGTACAGCCCCGCGTTTCCCCTCTTGGTAAGAACATTTATTTAAGAACTTTAAAACTTTCTGGAGTTTGGAATATTTGAACTACAGCATGAGTGCAGTCTGAATAGGAACCCTTTCAAAGTGTGTAATGTCCCTAGGACAGCTCATATACTGGTCAGGGAGAAAAATGTTGTGTCTGCAGTGCTGGGGTTACTGCACATGTGAGGCTCTAGCCTTGACTGTCATTGAGGATTATTTGTCTATCACTTGTCACCTGTCAGAAGACAGATTGTTGGGACTCTGTAGTGTCATGAGATTGGCTTACTTGGAAGCCAGCTGATCCTTGATCTGAATCAAGCTTCCTCATCCGAAGTGCTAATACATCTTGCCTCTAATATGTATTGTTACTTTGGGACATAATACAACGCTGTCATGTTGCCATGTAGCCAGATGGTTATGGTCTGCAGGACCAACTAAGTGTCAAAGAAAAAAACAATGCGTGATTAGAGCCTCGAATGCTGCAATCAAATGCAGCTCATCTCAGCCCTGTGTTTAGAAGATGATGGCAACTGGGATGGGGGGAGCAGTTCCAGAAAAGACAGATTTTCAGAGTTGCATATGAGAATTAGATTAAGAATTGCATTTTCAGAGCACAGAAACCTGGCTTCACATTACTTCATTCCCTTTGATCTCATTAGATGTCATTGAAGAAGCTATTGCTTCTGTTCAGAAAAGTAGCTGATGTTACAGGCTAGATGGCTAAGTAGCACCGTGAGTTTTGGAATCCTTTTGTTTTCAGTCTGGCTGTTTGATCTGTGCTTTGTCATTTCACAAGCCCTGGAGTTCATACTGCTGTCTGTTTTTCTGTTTATCTGTGTATTTGGAGTATAGTATTTCGCTTCTACACAAAGGAAAAAAATCTGAGAATCAAAGGATTACTCATGTGTCCAAATACATCACTTGGCACTGTGTGCTGACTAAAGCTGCGCACAGGGCCAAGAGCTGATTTGTTACACTGGCCTGCCTGCTCTCACATATTATTGGATTAGGAGCATCTGCATTGGAGTTGAGCCATTAATTAAAAGCTGTTTAAGTGCATATTTATTTCTCTCTGGGCTGGGATGTATAGGCGTATTGCAGAAGCATACTCTCCGCAACTAGAGGTTGACGTATGTATACAAGTGTTTCCTAACTGTACCTGCTATTTAAAAAGTTATTTGCACAGTAGTGAATCTTGACGTCAGTGAGGATCTCCTCCTTCTCCTTCCCTTAAGATTTAGATGTTCTCCAATGCCTACAGACTGTAAAATACTGCCTATGTTCCTGCTGTGACTGTCTACTGGCATGATGCTGACTTCTGATTATTGCAGGTTATGTCCTCTCCAGTCATGTAACAGAAGAGATGCTGTGGGAGTGTAAGCAGCTAGGAGCTCATTCCCCTTCTACCTTGCTCACTACACTGATGTTTTTTAATACAAAGTAAGTACCTAGGTCTTTGGGGATCTTGTGGAATAAAAGAACTTCAAATGCCTTGACAGGGTTGGTAGGAAACTGCTGCACTGGATTAGGGTGAAGTCATGAATTTCAAATGGTTGCACACAGAGCCCTCTTGCAGGCCAGTCGGGCAAAGAAGGTGCAGTACAACAAGGAAATGAGCTAGCAGAAGGGCAACTGAACTTGTGGGTGTTGCATGTTTTGCTGCTGGAACAGTCTTTAACTCGGTGTTGGTTTGAGCTTCAGTTGGCTCATGATGAGTAAAGATAACTACCTCACTGTTGTGACTGTATCATTTACTTGCCTCTGAATGTCCTGTGTTCTCTTCTTGCTGCTCAGATACTTCCTCTTGAAAACAGTAGACCAGCACATGAAGCTGGCCTTCTCCAAGGTGTTGAGGCAGACCAAGAAGAACCCTTCTAATCCCAAGGATAAAAGCACGAGTATCCGCTATATGAAGCCTCTTGGCATACACCAGACGGGACAGAAAGGTAGTGTCTGGAAGTTTTCTTTGGGAATAGTTACTTTTACTGGGCTTGAAGGAAGCAGATGAACCTGGAGATGTCTGCAGGTAGGGCCACGAGAACCCAAGGCTCTGCCAGTTACCTTCAGCCTAGCAGCATGAGTTTTCTGTGCATTCTGTCTGAGAGAGCTTAGTACCTTCTAATAATAAGCCTAGGGACATGCCTTACCTGAGGCATATAGGACTCGTCAAGAGCTAAGGATAACTTTTTTGTTACTTTTGTTTTTTATGGGCAAAGGGGCAAATGGGTGTAAGTGTCTATGAACAGAGGGAGAAACTTCTTTGGCAGGGATTCCCTTATCTTGACTCATAGGAACCCATATAGAATCCATATGTAAGTACAGTCTTCCTCTTAAAAGCATGGATGCAGGGTTTAGCTGAGGCGTTGCAGTCTCAGTAGTGAGACTTCTCTCATTTTGGGCACAGGTGGAGGAGAAATGGAAAGAAGGATATGGATGGGTTGTGTTGTTCAGTAGCCTTGGGATAAAGCAAACCGTCCATATAATGCTTTGAGCATTTATAACCAGGTGCCTCTGCCCTGGAACAGCCATATGTCTCTTGCCAGCTCTTGCATGGTGACAAGGTGCTTCGGAGTGCTGAGGCTGTATGGCACTGCTCAGTTTGCTGTACTTATACAGAGTGTCTGACAGGCTTCTGGGGGGCTGCTTTGTAGTTACAGATGACATGTATGCAGAGCAGACTGAGAATCCAGAAAACCCCCTGAGGTGTCCGATAAAGCTGTATGACTTCTACCTCTTCAAATGGTGAGAGCCCTTGTTCATATGTATGGTTGCTTGTCTGCTGTGACTGTTAAGCTGCATCTTGTAGCTGGCCTAGTTTTCAGGGCTGTGTTTTATTGCTGGCACAGTTTCTATATTTGCATAAATTTACTTAAATGGGGAGGGGTGTTGATGTGAGAGGGCAGGATTTACTCTGATGGCACATAAGTTGAACTTCTGTGGTATTTAAAGAGACAAATCCCAATTTGTGCACTGGCTGCTCTTAATCTCATACTCATTCCAGAGGTTTGCTGTGTTGGCATGAGCTCACTGTTCTGCCTCTGACTTGCAAGCAAGTCATCTGGAAGCATCCGCTACTTGAGATGAGATTAGGGTCCTATTCAAATCGGCTTTGAACAAAAATGAGGACTTGCTGTGGAGATTGGAGGGAGCCTCAAAGGACTCTTCTAAATTACAATGATTCTGACAATTACTGTAAACGTTCCTCTGCATGGATGGGTATGCAGCTAGCCTGAATGTGAAAATACCCCATCCTTGTTTCACTCTGAACGACCCCTAAAGCCATGTGTGGCTTCATACTTACCAGTGTGAAATAAAAATTACTTTCTTGTAGTCATCACAATGGCTTTTTAATGTTGGCATGGCCTAAAAACTTTGGGACCACTGTTGCCCCTAGATGTAGCTCCATACCTTCACGTCTCATCAGCTGTTCACTGTCAGGAATTGTGAAGCCTGGGTTGAGGACAGTGATGGTCTCTCCCTCCCAGGACATTCTGTTAGTCTGGTTATTTCTGATCTTCCTCATGCAGCCCCCAGAGTGTGAAAGGCCGGAATGACACGTTTTACTTGACACCGGAGCCAGTGGTGGCCCCCAACAGCCCTATCTGGTATTCCATCCAGCCGATCAGCAGAGAGCAGATGGAGCAGATGCTCACCCGGATCCTGGTGATACGAGAGATTCAGGAAGCTATTGCCGTGGCTAATGCCAGCACCATGCACTAAGGCATCCTTCTTGGCTCGGAAGGGGTGGGGCGGGGTGACGGGGGAGGGACAAGCAAAGATAAATTGTACAGACTTTTACACTAAAGGAGATGCCTAAGTTTTTGGTTTTTTATTGGTGTAGTTATGAAGCCCTTTTAGGCTTCTTCTCTTTAAAAGAATCTAAAGGAAAACCTACCCATTGTGTATCCTACCCAACACACCAAACTGTTGGAACCATTGGAGGCTGCATATCCCCTGCGAGCTGGGAGCTGTGGAAAGCTGCTGGTTGACTCTGGTTTTTTTTATGATGTAGAAAACATGAACTACAGGATTGGCCTGGATGGCTGGGGCCTCTGTCTCCTTGGAGCACGTGCAGCCTAGAGGGCACAGAATGATGGATGGACCTGCTCAGCCAGTGGAGGAGAGGCAGGCATCTTCTTTTCTTGTGCTTGGACGTTAATTTGCTGTTATCTTGGAAGGAAGAGGAGAGAGTGAACTGCAATTGTGATTTATACAAAAAAAAGCAAACCAACGATTTCTATTCAGACCTTTAAGTGACATTTTTAGATGTTAAAAGTACAAACTTTACCACACTCTTCTTTTTTGGCCTAACGTTGAGGCCTTAAACCTTGAGGCTCCTGTGCCTGATGGAATTCTTGTAACATACACTTGTGTATCATATAAAGATACCACCCTGTTTCTCTTATGTATTCTTACTCTAGTTGTTTATTAAGAATGACGAGCACGTCTTTTCAACATGCCATTGAACAATGTGTCTTTATTTGGGGAAGAGTGAGCTGTGAGGGTGGGGGGGGTCGTTATACAAAGATCAGTATGCAAACTGGTTGTTTTCATCCCTGTTTGTGCTTTCCAGCTTGACTCCGCTGGACTTCTTTCACCCCTACAAATTAGGAAGGTAGAAGGGAATTAACTTCTGTTGAAGGACCTGAATGTCTGCTTGCTGATGGAAGCTCAGTGTCAGGCTAGGAACATGCGATCTGTGAGACCAGATCAGACTGTCCTAATGTTCTGTGGCCAACCTGTGAGGCTTCGCCCCTAGGCAAATCCCCCTCTCCCCACCTTTACAAACGCACCACACCAACAGCATGATGGAGGGGCGTTGGAGGGAAAAGGCCTTCCAGGAGCAGCACATGGCTTACTCATGCCATTTAACAGCCTTTTCACTGTTTTTAACACAGTTGTGTAGCTTCTGGCATCATTCATGATCATAAACCCCAGCCCTGTAACCTTGCCTTGCTGCATCTTAAATGGTTGCTGTATTTTGTATCATTAACAAATAGTCTGCTCTTTTGAAGCCAGCGGGTAGCCAACCATGCTTGAAATGGGAGATCACTCTAGCCAGGCTTGTTATTTGTGCCACCAGCTTCTTGGATGCGGAGAGGTGACTCTGCTTCTTGAACTTGCCTTCCCTGCTTTTCCATCTCATGTCCCTTCCCTGTTCCAAAATATATAGATATATATTTAAATATATATTACAGTAAAAGAACTTAAACTTGTGTACAGGCAAGCAATTCTTCTGAAGCTTCTGTTGACCAGCACCTGTCTGTATTGAGAAGGAAGGTCTGCCCTGTCAGTTGTGCACAGCATAAATGATGAGAGTAGCCATTATGTTCCCTGTCTTTGTGCTCTTGAGCAGTGTTGAGATGTGCGGGCTGAGAGAGACACTTCAAGCCTCTGATGCTTCATATTGACATAGGTGTTCATGAGAAAGTAGATGTGCTCAAGCTGGTTGTCAGTATGAGCTGTTCCCTGCATAGGACTCTGTGCTCAAATAAGTGCAGAGAGGTGAAGTAGCAATGCACTGATGTTTACTAATACCTGCACTCTAAAGTAGACTCTTAGCTCAGTGTGCGTGCCCAGGTGGTGTGTAGTGCTGGCAACACGTACCCTCAGCTCAGTTCAGCCATTGGGAGCCAGCAGTTGCCCCCTGGTAGGGCGGCTGTTGGGATTGCTAATACTGCTTCAGCTGTCAGAAGCCTGTAATCCCTTTGCCATATCTTAGTGACTGGAATGTCCATCTCTGGCCCTAATTTAAGTATTTAAAAACATGGTTAGGGGCAACCTCCCACTGTTTCAAGCAGCTCGGTGTGCTTGTTGCTCAGCATGCCCAACAGGCCTGCGCAGAGTGGATTTCCCATTCTTTTGGGTAGTTTGTCCTGTCTTCTGAACAGAGTTGCAAAGATGTGAGAGAAACTGCAGACACCTGTGCTTGAGTCCCAGTGTGTGCTCCACAATACTGCATGGGAAGCTAGCTCCAGCATGCCTGCACCTCAGTGTGAGCCTCCTGCTTTGTCTGTCTCCATCAGAAATGCAGAGGGTGTTGAAGTCATCTGCCAGATACCCAGTGTACAAGTCACTTCATTAGGTGGCTTTAGGAGTCACCTCTTAAGCTAAAAATTGTCAGAAGCTGGAATAACTTGACAGAACATTAGGGCAGTTCCAGGTTAGGGGTGAACAGATACTTCAGCTGAGCTTTCTGGGGAAACAGAATTCGATGTTAGTTTAAAATTCTTGACTGTGCACTTTCCTTACTACCCTTAACTGCAGGATGATCTAAAATCTTTATAGGGGAAGAGTTCTTGATCTTGGAGTATACTGCTTAAGAGTGGGGGAACTTGACACATAGTGAGCTGTGGAGATCTCCTAATGATTGGTTTTGTCCTGACAGACTGAAGTGTTTCCATTATTTTCTCATTGTTCGGACATATATAGAAGAGAGATTTGCTGACGCGGAAGGGGACTGCCGTACTGTTCTTATACTGTCTCATCAGAATGTCCACCGTGTTAACTTCATTCCCTATTTTTAGAGACAATCGATATACTGTGACTTAAGGATTACTTTCCTGGACCTGGCTTCTAGTCTGGCTCTCTGGAGCTAGTTTAAAAGGTACAGTATTTCTAGAAAATAAATATTATGTTCTTTGATAGTGAAGAACATGATCTGCTCCCTTTTAGGGGCTTGTAGGAAGACGTGTGCAGAGTAGCACAGAAGAGTGCTGTGGCTTAAGGTTGCTATCCAAGTTCTGGGAAATGTTCCCAGTCAAACATGTAAAATAGCTTTTTAACACTTTCCTATAACCAGCTTGACTGCTGCTTAAAGGGCATTCCCCCTCGGCTCCGAGAGTGCCAAACTGCTAGCTCTTGTATGCGTGTATATATTAAACAAGAACTCTCCATGCCCTATGCCTTGTATGAGACAGGCTGAAAATGCATCAATCTCTAAATAAATAAAGCTGAGAAGTCAAGCTAGAGACCCTGTGGTGTTGGTTTCAAACTATGCCCATCTTGTCTCTGTGGTATGAAAGGAACCATAGAAAGCAGAGTATGACTGACTATTGTAAAGCACCTCACATTCTGACATGAGACTTGCGTATTGTCCTCTCTCTTGACACTAATAGCATTGCTTTCCTAAGGAAACTTGTAGCCTCTTACACACTTGTCCATGGCACCATTAGATTTTCATTTATGTTCAAGAGTTCAAGCATTTCCTCTAAGTGGTAATGGCTGAAGAGCAGACTAGAGAGTGGTTCTTCACTCCTGTCTAGAGTGGTGACTAAAGGGAGCAGTCGAAATAACTTAAGACTCTCATCTGTTGGCTGCTTTACCCCTAGAGATCTCCTGGATTTTAGATGGGAGACAAGGTCTGAAGTAGTTCCTGAACTGTTCTGCCTTGGACCAATGGAAAAAAAGACTTAATCTGATCCCTAAATAAGAATCTTCTTCTGCACTGTTGCTCCCAGGGCAGAAATTAAGACAGTCTTGTTCTCAACTGCATCAGGGCTACTGTCTGCCTTGGTGTATGTAGAATGGATTAGGCCATCTTCAGGCCTCCTATGCTGTGATAAGAACAGATCCAAAAGTGGTAGAAGTGAGCCCTCTGAGCATACGTGGGGTGGAGGGCTTGCTGATACTGTAGTTGCTCATCCTCTTGCTGGTCTGAGTGCTGCTAGACACTGGTTGACTGCACAGTCTGACCAAACTGCATTCGCATCCAAGTTTAATAGTGACTTACTTCCAATTAGTGTTTGGACTCTTAAATCACTGTTCAAGTGGGATATAAACTGTCTTCCACCCTATACGGGGCTTTTCTCCCCATCTTCTTGCTGGAGCTGCCCCTCTCAAATACTACAGGATACGTACCTTATCCTGAAGTTTCAGCCTGGTCTGTTTCCTGGTGCCAATGCATAGGAAAGCCCTTCTCAGCTCTAGCATCTTCCTACCTTAAGGAGCATCTCAAATCTTCTTCCAGAAGTCTCACTGACATGCTGCCCCAAAATCTCTGAAGCGATTGCTGTGTCCCCTACTTGTCAGTTCCCCTTGTTGTGTGGCTGAAGCTCGGCTCTCAGCACTGCAGTCACTTTCCTTGTATAACCTTGTGCATGGCAGCCACGTTTGCGTGCTTCTCCGTTCTCGTTTCAGCTCATCAGAATGGGGAGGCAGATTGAACCCACTTACAGCAGCAATAAACTGCATCTAGAACTTGAGAGAACTGCAGGAGAGAATGAGGTGGAGGGGATGTCTCAGAAAGGCAGGGTCCAGTTGCAGCCCAGAGCCTCGCTTGATAATGAGTGTGCAGCCTATATGCAAAATACGTCTTGTCTCTGTCCCTCCCGTGTTGATCCTGGTCTAAACAGCACATGTGATTGGCATCCTGCAAAGTGACCTTCAGAACTCTCCAGTAGCTTTGCCCCGTGAGTAACTCACACTACAAATCATTTTAAAGAGATGCACTCAACTATTTTTTTAATTTAATTTTACTCTTATATTCTCTGCTCTTTGTAATCTGCTTGGAAATAAAATGTTTTTCCCTGCAGCCTTTGTTGTAGTCTGTTTGAGAACCATTAAACTTTGTCTGGTGTTTCTATTGGAACAGAAGCCAACTTGCCTGTTTACTGCTGTGCCTGTGCTCTAGCGTAACAGCTGAGATCGGTGTGTGCCTCCCAGATAGGCTTAGCAAACCTTTGTTAGCGCTGGCCTTATTTAAAATAAAGGGTAGAGAGACCTGTTAAACTGATCTTGGTCTGGCACAATGCCTCCTGTTCTGCTGATCCTGTGACAGGCAACGCTGACTCAAGAGTGTGTGTCCTTGGCAGGCAGTGTTTTCCTCTGGAAGGCTGTGTTTCTGAACCCTGCCTCTGGGAATCTCGGTGCCTTTACTGATGACTGCTTTTGGTGGTGTGAGCCTAGATGCTTTATTTACTGCAAAGGACAGTGCTTTTCTTACAGCTCCTTAGCCCAGGCAAACTGTAAACAATGGGAAACCGGTGTCTGGATAGGTGAAATCAACTCTTAGCTGAGAGTCACCCCAGGAATTACGTAAAGAAGTAGGAACCAGGGTGAAATGCAATCTTTTACAGCAGAGACTGTCAGGGAAGAATTGAAACCCTGTGAAGTTCAGAGTGTAGCATAACAACAAGCACTGTTAACGTGGCTGTAGGAAGATGGTGTTGATGTTGCCATTCACAGTAGTAGTAATAGGATTAGCTACCACTCTCTTGGCTTAAAGTTTTAAGTGGCATTGCAGATCCTTGTCACTGCCTCTTCACTATGCAAGGGTTGCCTTTCCTTAGTTACGTGAGGGCCCTTAGAAGCCACACATACCCTTCCTCACAGCAAAGTGAATGTTCCTGTGCTGAGGTATGTGCCTTCCTTTCCTGCTACAAACAAAAACACCATCTGGTGGGAAACAACTATAACTTAGAAACTGCAGCCTCTATTCTGTGCAGATTACTGCTGC